GGATATCCCAAGGAACTATCGGTCATTATCAGTAAATAAACAATATAACATACTTTCTGTTCTTGCAATACAAGAAGCAAACAGAGCAGATGAGAAGAACAGCCAATGCAGCAGCAACACCAATACCAATCTATGAACACAGTGTATTAATCATGAGAGAACAGCAGTTTATGCACCCCTTGGTACCAATACACACTCTTTGCCTTGACATAAGTCACATAATCAGTACAGTATGATTGTGCCATTCATTCCCTTCAGTGCAACAAAATGTCCTTTCCCCCTGGTAGTACCCCCTTATCCATCTTTGAGGCAAACATCAAAACAAGTCCCCCCTCATTGACCCTTATACCTCTAGGTACCCCCCTAAGATAGAGCTTTAAAACATCTCCTATACTTATTCCCTCAAAATTTAGATTGTAGTGTCTAATCCAGACTATAGGGTTATTCTTAATTCTATAAGAGTTTCCACTCACAGTGGTAGCAAACTCATGTACCTTAAAATCTTTCATGGCTGATCCAACGGTCTGGTCCAGAATGCTACATTCTTCAACAATCTCCGCAGGTAAAGAGACACCATCCCGGCATGTTCTAAAAATAGAAATGATGTAACCAAATGAAGAATTCTATCACTGTAAGTTAATGCTGTCTTAAAATCACACTCAAACAACAGAAAAATATGAAACTCAATGTATTGAAGTCATTCCTATAAAACGATATACAGTCAACTCTCGCTATTATGGACACTCTCGGGACTGTAAATTAGTGTCCGCAGTAGCGAGAGTCCGTAGTAACGAGAGTTACTTTCAGTCATTTCTTTGTATTTCTTKCCGGGGAYTCAGTATTTCGTGTCCGTAATATCGAGGTGTCCGTAATAGCGGGGTGTCTGTAAGGCGTGAGATGAATGTACATTTTCGTATTGAACATTAACGATACAGTCAACTCTCGCCTTACGGACACCCCGCAATCACGGACACCTCGATATTAAGGACACGAAATACTGAATCCCCAGCGAAAAATGCAAAATGACTGAAAGTCCTTTATTACGGACTCTCGCTACTGCGGACACTAAATTTCAGTCCCGAGGGTCGTCCCGAGGGTGTCCGTAATAGCGAGTGTTGACTGTACTCTGTACTCACTTTGGTTCCTTCCACATGTAACTWGTGGTCTTGTGTCCATGCTAATGTCAACAAAAAGGCAAAACATAAGTAGCGAATTCTCCTTAACTTGATTATAATTTAATATCAAGTTCATCGTATACATAGATGAATCATCAGTTGAATTCTCATTTAATCTAAATACCAGCGTATTATCTACAATACTCAGATTGGTCTATATTGTTTTAACGTCAGTAAGTTCTGTATTTCACCTACTTTTTACAGAGTTTAAATCTATCTTATTTCACAACTGTTTTATCAGTCAACTAGTGTGAAATGGTTTGTGTTGACAATCCCAAAGCCCCGTTTATACTTGCGATTTTTGAAGCGCGATTATCTATCGCGCACTTAAAATCGTACATGCAAACAGCTAAATTTCAAGCATGTTCGAAACTCAGGTTATGGTCGCGCGATAAAAATCGCAATTTTAAAAGGGCCCTTACACTTAATRTTAAACTTTAAAAGTAGAGTTCAAAACTTAAGGGTCTAGGAAAAACACCTTTAGACAAAACCAACAAACTCAAATCATAAATCATTCAAACCAATAAACTCAAATCACAAATCATTCAGAAAAGAAATTYTGTATCACCCTTATATCCTCAATCATTCATAGATGTAGCAACATGCACAAGTGATATTTACCTCACAAGCTCCT